GATTTTCGTTTTTCCCTCCGTGTGTAAGAACGGGGCAGGCCGAAAAAAGGGGTGTTTTATAAAGGGAAACCTTTTCACCCCCTTTTGTAGGTTGGATTTTCCCACACCTCATTAACAAAAAGGGGCCCCCCCCCCCAAAAAAAAAATCTTTCTCACCGGGGGGGGGGGGGGGGGGGGAGGGTACTAATGCTGACAGTTCTGGGAAGCGACATGATCATAATTCAAAGTCACAACATTTTCTTACTATGACAAACGAACTTAAAATCTTAAAACCTTGTTCAACTCTACAATTGCTGTTAGCTAATTAGTTTTTCTTACAGTTTGCTCACTTTGTATCAACAAATTAATTATGAGTTTTCACTGTTCACTTGTTTCTGGAATTCTTCATCAAAAGGAGACTGTTTCAACTCCTTTGTGTCAGTAATTTCACCGAATTATGTACGCTGAAAATATATTATCATTATTATTTAATTTTACCAAGGACTCCTCTTGAGAGTTTCAGTGCACAGCCTATAAATGCTGTCTTTTGTTTTCTACAGTATCCTTCTGCCGGTATGGTTGTCTTTTGGGTCCATTTGTTCCCCACTGGATCATAGACTTCAACTGTGTATTCATGCCCTCCTAAATAACCTGTACGGAAACCACCTAGGACATAAATTGTTCCATTCACACACACCATGCTCCCAGACACACGTCCAACATTTAAGCTTTCAATGAACTGCCATTCATTTGTGGAGATGTTGTACACCTCACAACTACGAAGATCTTGTCCGCTCTTGTCCTTCCCTCCTGCGACGAAAATTTGGCCACGAAAAGCTACACCAAATGCATGGCCCCTTTCCTGCTGCATATTCGCTATCTGCACCCATTGATGTCCAATAGTGTCGAATCTTTCAGACACTGTAACATACTCTGGGTTTGAATAATTTCTCGTTGCTTCTCCACCTAGAACATAAAGACAGTTACCAGCTGCAACAATACAAGAGTCATACCTGCAGCCCAAATTGGAGGAGTGAACAGTCTGCCATGAGTACGATTCCACATCGAAGCTTTTCACAGTGCTGACAGTGGATGTTTCACCGCTAGTTTGACTACTATCAATTTGTATGACATAGATTTGCCCTCGGCAAACACCCGCATATCGTCTACCGCAATACAAAATATCCATGTCCATAGTCGGCAAAGTCGTCCAAATCCTAAAAACGGGCTCATACCTTTGAAATCGGTAGCCATGAAAGGTATACAGTTGGTCATGAAAGTTTATCATCGTCGTGTTCAGGCTGATTTTCTCATGCCGGTCTGAGAGATAGGTCAAAGTTTCCCAATCGTCTTTCTCTGGAAAGTAACGGAAAAGATAATGCGCTCCGCCGACTACAATCGCGTGTGTCTCAAGCCGTTTTCTTGGTGACTCATTTTTAGTATCCTCGCTTACATCTATGGCGTCCAATACTTTCGTCAAACAATCAAGGTCTTCTCGAACCAGTTCGTGAGTAGTGACAGTTAGCAAAGAGTCACGCGATAGTAAAACTAGTCGAACTTGTCCAAAAAGCTTTTTGAACTTATCTTTTCGCTCGCTTTTGTCGTGCTCGATCCAATGTAGTATGATTCTGACGACGTCTTCTTCAGCTGCTAAACGAATCTCGTCGTTTGAAATCCACTTAGCAACCTCTTCCGCCTTTTGGTTCAAGAATTCCTCTGATTCTGCTACGGAGGCGAAGTTGTCGAGTATGAACTTTGTACTATTAGCAACTAATTCTTCACATCGATACTTCTCAGCGAAGCGAAAAGTTGAAATACAATTTGAGCTAGTCATTTGTTGTTCAAGAAAACGTCCTGATTTGGTTTTCAACCCTTCAATGAGTAAATATTCCGCCGCAATAATCAGATCAGTGGTATTCGTTTCATTTATCTCGACACTTCCTGTGTAGATAAACTCCAAAACATCTGCAAGGATCAACACTGAGATGTCCTCGAACCTAATGACTCCTTCGTCCTTCTCTCTCATCTCGCTCTGAAGAAGTTTCACGAAGAACGGACTCGCCGCCGACAGCACATTCTTATGGGCCCTGAACTCGTCTCCTTCTTTCGCCACCAAGGTTATGTCGCACAAATAATTCTGGTTTCGTTGCAAGTTGAGTCGCTTGAGTAATTCCACACAGAAAGAATTTTGTTCAACTTCACATATTGATTTTAAATCCTCCATTTTTGATCACACTCATGTATGGGGGCATCATCACTCATTCCTTCAGTACTTGTAAACTGCACCTTAAGCAGTCTGGCAAAGTCCCCCAACCAGTGTTGTAAATTATCCCTGACAAGCCCTGTGGGGAGTGGATAATAGGATATTTACAATTTACAATTTAGTGTCGGAATTAATAGAAGAGAAACTAAATCAAAACTGACAGGGCATAGAATGAGTTAAAATCTGACAGGGAAACGGACAAAATGGACTAAAATAAACTAAGTATTTTAAATGGTTGAAGTCGTAAATTTGGAATAATTCATAGTATTGTCAACATGGTTGGTAAGTAAACCCAAAAAATGAGATCTTACTATGATACATCTGCTAGTTGGTTACCTGTGGCGGAGTATGATGATCAGTGAAGTGCATCTCTCTTAATGTCGTCAGTAGTGGAGCGAAGGATAATTAGGTGCTGATTCATTAACTAACTATACATATAAAAATAAGCATTGCAATATTGCTTTCGCCCTTTTTAGAGCGATAAAATACTAACATTTTAAAGAACTTTGTACTTGCAAAAGTTTACAATCGGTCAAAATGAGACATGGAATGTTTTGCTTTTTAAAAATTCTCATCTTATACGCGTATTGCGTCACGTATTGCTGAAAATGGCCGTATTCACACTAGAGACGGATTATCCGTCTGAGACCGGTTATACCCGTTTGATAAATTGCGTCAGACAGATAAAACGTCTTAATTTTTAAATGGAACATCCTAGGAGACCCAGGGGCAGACAATCCGCCTGACTTTATGCATCTGTTTATCCGTCTCTAGTTTGAAAACGGCCGATGCCGTAAAATGGAGGCCTTTTAAAAGGGAACATTTTCTGACACGCTTGATAGTTGAAGTTGCTAACCATCTACTTCACAGATACGGTCGACCCTCTCCATAAGAAAAATTCTCTATCACGATTAGGGGGGGGGGGGGGGGGGAACTAATGCGGAAGGTTCGGGGAAGGGACAGGTTCAAAATTCAAAGTCAAAAAATTTTTTTATTTGGAAAAACGAACTTAAAATTTTAAAACCTTTTTCAACTCTACAATTACTT